GTATTTTACGTGAAAAATTAAATTAAAAACCATAAATGGGGGCGTATACGTTAAGGCAGCTGGTTCCTTCTTACCTAGGGGCGCGTGATTCCAATATCTTTGTACAGATATTTCTTCATTCCCGTCTTCAGAATCCGAATTGCAGTCTAAAATACGAGGGCGGGGAACGTGAATTCCAATAAAAAGAATTATACACAAAAGAATTAATGGAAAATTTTGCAAACATCTTCGGTGTCTTTACATAAACGATTACAGTTAAAAAAATTTGAATTACAGCATTCGGTATCCACTGATTATTTACAAGCTGAAGGCCGGACCCCTTACAGAAGAATCTGACGACAAACTAACTCAGAATGTCAATAAATTTATTTTTCTTCCTCAACCATTAATATCGATGGGCTTTTACTTATGATAACATAACTGCAAGAATGCTTTTTATTTTGATTGTGTTCCTAGGTTTAGACTTAGAAACCACATGATAAATTCTACCTGGCTCATTTCGGTCACTTCTGTCCGAAGAAGTAAAATCCGGAAAAGGGGGGAGGGGGCTCGAGCTAGAACTGTAACATATGTTACCTTGTTCACAGTTTTCTTACATGCATGTATGTATGAGGTATACAAGGTCGCCTTCTTCATTTATTGAAATCTAACTTTAGCAGCACTTGGCGAGGCATTCGCAACCTTTTGGAGGTTTCGCACAATCTACTGGATTTCATTAAGCTCGTTGTGGTTTATTTTTATTTGTGCTTTTATGATGGAAACAAAATATGTTTTAACTGGTGCGGAACACAGGATTAGCTCTAATGGTTATTATATATCACAGAATAATATACCACAGAAGCATAAAGCATGATTTAATTATGTGCATATCTATCTAAGCTATTAATTCAATTGTATACTGATATCATCTTGTAAATGTCCGCCTAAGACAGCGAACGCCAATGACATTGAAAAAATGAGAATTGAAACACTCACCAGCTACTCTCCGTGGCATATTTGGTCGATGATCTTAAATAATGCGCACAGCAGATACCCAGAGATCAGCAGTCGTGTTCATATTTATATATATAATACCCATGAAGGCGCTCCCGCAGCGACTAGGGTGGTATTCAGCCTGTTAAAAGTCGATACATGGTGCGGTTGTAGACTCATTAGTGTGCATCCCTGGGATACGTGAACTCGGCAACGCAAAGGAAATTAACGCAATGTCATTGGTTAGAGGATTTTTGGCAGAGAGCAGCCTGTTCTGTGGTAAAATGAGCAGCGTGCACGCTGTAAACTCGCGCTAGTGCTAGGATGAACTGGCAAAAAAGTCAATTACTGTTTAATTGACAACCGCGCTGGTATTACTAAGAGTACTAGTAGTAATAAGCTTTATGGATATTTAACGGATGGACTTGCAGTACTGACAAGAAAGGTCGGTCAATATCAATTGTCAGTTAGACGTAGAATTTCGAATTTCAGCAGTCCTATCGCAGTTATTTGGTGTTACGCCGCTCGACGTCCACTAATAATGAAAGACGCCGAGTCACAAAACGGAACGTTGATGCTTTATTGTTCCAGAAAGTGTTCTATTTTCATATGCGTGTTAGCTTGTAAATTAACTAGAGAAATTAGCTCTAGAACGCTTCTCAAGGCCTCCTTATTTCTTTAAACAGTATATTTTGTTGCATTCGTCAACCCGTCTAGTGGAAGCTGAAGTCACCCTGAATGCGTTATCAAAATAGGTGAACTCCAAGTCAGATTCTTGCCTCATTTTTACTTAAATTAGGGAACTTTTTGCACGAAAACGAGACCGTAGCTAAACTCTGTAAGAAGGTATTCGAAGTCAAGTGTGATCTTTGGGAAACGTAAGAACATTTATTTGGCATATTTAAAAACTGATTTTCCATGTAGTCATCGGGCGTTTAGGAGATTGGCTGTAATACTCCAACAGGCTGAAAAGAACTATT